GCTTATGAAAGTTTCTCTTTTCGAAAGATGAGAGAGGATGACAGAGTCGCCATCCATGAGGCCATGGAGCAGCAGACCATCTCTATTGCAAAGGTGCCAGACATTTATCACTGCATTGTACTCGCCAATAGACATCCATTATTTCTTCAGCTTACGGTCTCTTCAAACAGACAGACTCATCAATTCTTTGTTTTCACCCAAAGGCTGGCATCACCACCACTCTGAACTCCCGTTGCTCGGTATTGGCCGCCGCCAACTCTGTGTTCGGCCGTTGGGATGATACGAAGGGAGAGGACAACATTGACTTCATGCCCACCATTCTGTCTCGATTCGACATGATCTTCATCATCAAAGACCATCACGACCAACAGCGAGACATGGTGCTGCTTATAGACTGCTAAAGTTCATTGAAGAGATTTACATGTTTAAATGATTTCATGGGAGCTAATGCACATGGCCGTGTGTTTTTATGTGTGTAGACTTTGGCCCGGCATGTGATGAACGTTCACCTGAGCGCTCAGACGCAGACGGAGGGAGTCGAGGGAGAGATTCCTCTGGCCATGCTGAAGAAATACGTCGCCTACTCGAGAGTGTAAGTCTGGGTCCAAGTCCATAAACGCAATGTGAAACCTCATTCATCAGTAGCAGTTTCCATCCACTTTTTTTAATGGGAATTTTGGGATATGGGATACGCTGGATGGAAACGCAAAGATGCACATAAATTCTAAAAATGTGCATAAACATGTGCGCTCAATTGAGGCAGATAATTTTTTTTAAGACGACATGCATATAAACTGCGATGGAAAGACATTTACTGAATAAATCCCTCAATGCGCAACAAAAAACTCACGTGACTTTGCCTCAACGGTGGCTGTGATTGGATAACTTGACTAACCAGCGAACAAAAGTCTGTCATTAGAATTATTTGGTTTAATACTCTCCCAGAAGCGTCTCGCTTAATTGCGTTCACAAGCACCAGCCTCTGAATGCAAGATAACATGACAGCGTTTATTGCGTTTCGTCTGGATGCTCTGAGACGCAATTCATTTATGATGGAAGAAATCGAGCCACAGTGGCTTCCCCGAGTGCAGCAAGTTCTGTTTTTATTACAGATGTTTTGAGCCAATTTCCCTGTTTTATGCAATATTCCAATTTTATGAAGAAGTTAAATTCGCAGCTTTGGATGGAAACAGCTAGTGTTGTCATCAGAATTAAATGCGTTGTAAATTCTTAAACAGGAAATGTGGACCCCGCCTGTCTGCGGCCGCCGCTGAGAAACTGAAGAACAGATATGTGGTGATGAGAAGCGGAGCGAAGGAACACGAGAGAGAGATTGACAGACGTGCGTCCATCCCCATCACTGTCAGGTATCAACTGAATTCAGGAATATGGAACCTGCTTTTACTCTTTTGTTCCTCAAAATGTGTATTTATATACATGAGCCCAGTGGCATATTCACCAGTCTGAATGCAGTACCTTTGCTTATTTCAAACATAGCACTTGTCTGGCTATGTTATTATAAAGTGGTTGTTCATTTGTCGTCCTGCAGGCAGCTGGAGGCCGTGGTGCGCATTGCAGAGTCTCTGGCTAAGATGAAGCTGCAGCCCATCGCTGGAGAGGAAGAGGTGGACGAGGCTCTGAGACTCTTCCAGGTGTCCACGCTAGACGCCGCTATGTCCGGCAGTCTCTCCGGTAAGTGTGCTGGTCTAGAAAGCAGAGAATAGACTAATATTTCTAGTGAAACACTTACCAAATAATATTTTTCCTGTAATTAATCGCAATTAAAAACATTTTAATTTTGTAATAATTTCAGTTACTCTTCAAAAGAATGTAGAAACAACATAAAGACAGGATACTTTAATTATTTCTTGTAATGGCATCTTTTTTTTTTAATGAAGGCCAGTATTATTGATACTAATACTGCTACTGATATCTGTATGAAATAGATTTTTTTAAACATTAATTACAGCCATTCATCATTACAGAATAATTGAAAGCTTTTATTAGGCTTTAAAAAAAAATAATTTAAGTGAACTTAAACAATCTCCACATAAACCCTTCCTATCTGTCTAACAGGTAGGAAATATACAGAAACTGAATAAACATTTTACAGTCTTAATTGCATAAATTATAAATTAAATATAGACTAATCCTTATTAAAGCTACTATTTTCTGTTACCCTTGTTGGTTAACTTTAATGACTGACAGCATTAGTGGCTGCTGCCACTTTAAGACCTGCTGCCGCACATGATGCGAATCTGACGGGCATCTCATTTTCTCAACTCTAAGTTAAATTCACAGATTCACTTGTCGCTCTTGAATGGTTTAAAAGCATTTGCATGAATAAGAGCGTGATCACATAATGTAACGCTAGCCAAATTATGACGATAAAATGGATGCTGCGTTAATTGCGTAAAATATTTTTACCCACATTAAAACAATTATATCGCATGTTAAGCTGTTAATTTTGACAGGCCTACATATACACAGTAGATCCCTATGGTGGGTTAGGACTGCCCCTAAAAAAAAAAACCATATACATTATAAATGAATATTAATATATAAATTACTTTTCGAATTGAGACAAAAAAGCTATTTTGTTATAGTTAAATTTAACAAATAATAAATAGGTTTTTAATATTGCCAAAATAGACACTAATTTGTCGCAAATACAAATATTTATTAATTTGTTTTACTTTTTTTCTGCATTTTAAATATGCAGAAAAATATTTTTGTCAGTTTTAAGGGTTTTTTAGTTAGTAATTGATTTTTTCCCCCATATATTTAAGCATCACTCAGTCTTCAGTAGACCTAAAGTGTCAGTAAAAATTTAATTTATAATTTTCATTCTAAAACAAGCTACAGCCAATATTTATGTGTATGTGCGCATATATATATATATATTAGGGATGGGCATTTCAAGCAAAAATAATATTCGAAGATCGCTGGATATTATTCGATAATTATTTGAAAATCGCACCCCTCCCCCACGTGTACGCATGTATAGGCTACACACCAGAGCATGTGAGTAAAGCGGAGCGGTGTGACGCTTAAATATAACTTGCATAACGTTTCATAATTATGTTTAAATAATGTTATTTTTTTCATCTGTTGATTATATGAAAAGGGAACCACATGAGAGTAAGATAGGATCATAAGATGCCCAATATGATTGTTTTGTAGAAAGCCTTTCTTTAAAGTGAATTTCGTTTTGTATAAATTGTTTCTAAATTTTAATCAATGTTTCATCAACCAATTGCCTGGATTAAGTAAAATAAAATAAGAAGCAAATATAGCAGGCAATATAATCAGGACACGGATGCGCCGGCGTGTGACCTGGAGCTCGTCTCATGAACCGAAACTCAGCGTATAAGCTACTTGCCTCACAGACCTGAGAAATATATCTATAGAAAGCTTGATATGTCTACTTTTAAACAAAACAACTGAAAACTAAAAGAAATGGGCTAGTCTCTGCTTATGTAGGCTAATTCATATGAAGTGAGCATTTCTCATAGGCTCATTCACTACTGCGAAGATGGCGAGTCAGGAACGAGTGGGTTGAGGGAGCGGAGCGTAATCTTCTGGTCGCACAACCTATTCGATATAATATATAAAATCAACTAATCGAATATTCGAAAATCGTGACTCATCCCTAAAATATATATATATGTATGTGTGTGTTTGTTTTATATATTATTTTTATTTTTTCATTAATAGCTGGAAATACAGCTGTACGGCGGCTATAAATTCACAGAAGTATGTTTGTTGATAAACGGTGGTATATTTATTTATTGCCATTTTCAGCCTGTTGTATCTGATGGGCCTAAAACTCGCATTCTCTCAAAACCTCAACTATCTTGGCCAGATAAATGATCAGGAGCCATGTTTACAACACGGGAATTCGTACCAAAAATGTTCACTAAAAACCAGCCGGAATTACTGTTATTGAGCCCCTGCCCTTTCTTGCCTCTATAAATGTAGCTGGAGAGTCTGATGAATGCTGTATGTCTGTAACGTTAGGTGTGGAAGGATTCAGCACTCAGGAGGATCAGGAGATGATCTCTCGCATAGAAAAACAGCTGAAGAGACGCTTCGCCATAGGCTCCCAGGTGTCTGAACACAGCATTATACAGGATTTCACCAAACAGGTGAGTTGAAGCTCAACTTCTCGCGTCACTATTCTTCACTGTCAATGTGCAATTACAGCGTCAGTTAAATTCTCCTCCTCCTCTCTGAACAGAAATACCCAGAACACGCCATTCACAAGGTCCTTCATCTGATGATGAGGAGGGGTGAGCTGCAGCACCGCATGCAGAGGAAGGTTCTTTACAGGGTCAAGTAGAGAGATGATGATGATGTTGTGTGTTTGCTTCACACATAATCCTGTCAGCAAAGCCGGACATCTGATCTGAAGCCTCCGCAGAAATGATATACAATTCAGATTTATTGTACATAGTTGTGTTGGACACTCTATTGCTGGAGAAATGTCCTGTTTATCAATCTTACTGTTTGGCGAGTAATTATTCTCATCTTGCTCTGTCAAAGCTTGCTATGATTTCAAATGCTACCATAGCAACACTATGCTTTACTGTCTTAATGTGGTTTTTCAATGAAAACAAATGGTTCACCACGAATCTAATGTCACTCGTCAAACTAAAGATATGACTTTTGTATGGAAACAATAAAGCAATTTAAGAAATTCATATTCTGGTCTATTTTAACAGAAAACACAAATCAGAATTTAAAGTTCAATTTTATTGCATTTTTCACGAATACATAAAAAAAAATCAAATTGATGGACTGATAAAATCATTGAATGCACTAAATTTTGGATAAAAGCATCTGCCAAATGTATAAATGCACATTTTAAAATGTTAAATATTTTAAAGGAAAATTGTGCTGACGTGATACCTTTAAGTTATGTCTAAAACTATTTGGGGGGGGGGGGGGGGGGATTACTATTTGGATCATTTAAATGTACTTGATTTATTACTGAGTGCATGTTTTATAATCCATGATTGGTGTTGGTTCAAGATCTTGGTTAGATTTGACCTCGTCGTCGTATTAAGATGTTACACACACAGACGAGTATAAAATGTTCTGAATCAAAAAGCATAAACTCCCATTCCAACAGTTGCCAGAGTGATTCCCACACCTAATGCAAACTGGAGCATCGGCGAGTTGGAGAAGGTTTTGGGAGTTTTGGATGCTGCGTCATTTCCTTTTTCACCTAAACAAACAAAAAGCAAGATTGTAACAAAAACATTACCGTATACATGTACTATTTCTACCTGATTTTTTACATTTTTTGATACTCACTTGAAGCTTCCTCTGTGATGCTCAGCATTTTCTGAAGATCATCGAAAACCTGTTTAAAATGACAAATACAAACATTGCATCAACTTTTAAAGTCACGCCTTTTTTTTCAACCATATTTTCTTGTAAGAATGACTAGACTTTGAATTACTTTTGGATCTATCTATTGTTCTATATCATTCTATCTATTGTACTCTCCATCTATCTATCCCTCGTTCTATCTCCATCTATCTATAATCCATCCATTGATTATTCTATATCTATCTATCGATTATTGATCTATATCCATCCATCCATTGATTATTGTTCTATATCCATCCATCTATCTATCGATAATCGTTCTATATCCATCCATCCATCCATCGATTATTGTTCTATATCCATCCATCTATTGATTATCGATCTATCTGCATCCATCCATCCATATAGTAATATTTTGTAATTTTTTTCAAAGAAGTTATTATATTCTCACCAAGACCGCATTAATTTGATCAAAAATACAATAAAAACTAATATTGTGAAATATTACAATTTTAAATAACTGTTTTCTAATTTAATATATTTTAAAATGTAATTTATTCTTGTGACGGCAAAGCTGAATTTTCAGCTATAACAAATATCTTGCTTTTGATCAATATAATGCAACCTTGCTGAATAAAAGTATTAATTGATTTTTTTTAAAATAACTGACCCCAAACTATATATGTACATATATATACAGTATATATATATATATAAATATAAAAGAAGATATCAGTGCTGACCTCAATGTTGAACTCAAAAGCTCTGGTAGCCTCATCCAGCACTTCCTGCCTCTGCTGTTCTGTTAACTCAATGCTGTTCATTCTGCTCCTGTACAGCTGCTTGAATCTGTTGGGGCTCGTCACTCCAGGAAACGAGAAGAAAACAATACCCTTGCTGCCGCTCAGTCCCAAGGATTTCTGGGTAATTTTGCCCAGCACTTGGCCTCCTGAGAGGTCGCCGAGATAGCGTGTATAGGCATGTGCCACCAGAAGATCCGGACTGTTCTTGCCAATCTAATGGGAACAGAGAGCGCTGAGTTAGAATGAGAATCACTGGAACGCAAGAGCGTTGAATGCTAAGATTTCACATCCTCGTGCATTCCACTTAAAGAGATGATTGACACACTCGCCTCTCTCAGTCTCTGTGTGTATCTGTGTGTGGCGGCAGGCACTGTTATTCTCTTCCTCCAGTGGGGACCAAAGAAGTGCTCCAGGTCCAGCTCCAGAGACTCCAGTCTGGCCAGCTCCTGAGGGAAGTAGATGGCATGAACGGAAGGATGGTCAGCGTTCCTGTCCAGCTCTTCCTCTAGCGCTTGGTAGATCTCATACAGAGAACACAGCAGAAGCTGGAAAAACACATGGAGAGTAACTTGAAATTATTACACATGACACAGATGAAGTTAGCTGTTAGTACACTCTTAGAAGAACAGAACCTTAAAGGGTTCTGTCAGGCACTTTATATATATAGAACCTTTTAGGGGTTCTCATCATGGGATCATTTTATGGATTTAGTTTTAATTCATTTTTAATTGAAATTAAATTTTACAAATTAAACAGCTCGTAGACACTATATTACTAGGAAAAAAATTAAAAAATCTGTTAAACATGAAAGTATTAAGACATTTCTCCTTATATCGAACCATTTTGGCATAAAGCGTTGTTTAAAATGAAGTCAAGAACCCTATAGTGTTCTATATTAAACCCCACTTAACCTTCGAAAAAAGTACTGACTTCTTGTTGAAGTTTCTCAGACTTCTTATCACTATTTATTATAATTACTGATAATGTGAAATCTAATGATATCGTTTTAAGAGATATTTAATCTATTTTAAACTTTTTGCAAACATGTAGCGTAATTCATACATTTAAATTTATAGCCTTCAATTTGCACATTATCTGTAAATTACTAAACTGTAAACCGCATCTTTTTCGGCGGCAATTGATTCAGTAATACTAACACTTTCTCTTCTATTCTATTTTTTATTTAAGAAAAAAAATGGCATCTAAAATTTAATAAATCGATTAATCCGTGATCACGGCCATTTAAATGCTTTAATTGGGATAACCGGCCCCAAAACATCAATCAAACAAAAGAGCATAATCATATCAACTATTAAATGAGCTAGAGAGGGAGGAACACAAAACATAAAAACTGCCACAAATAAATGGTTTCTGAAACTTGCCAAGGCAGACTGCCTGCCAGCCAGCCACTGACAGGTCACGTGACATGCCAAAAACATTTATTTTAAACCCCTTTATTGTTTCAATTTATAATAGGCGAGTTAATCTATTTGTTTACATGTTATAGTCCCCATTGTTTGTTTGCATCCTGCTTGGAAATATATGATCTTTGTGCAGCTATATTTACCTTGTACTGTGTTTGCGTGATCTGTCCCCTCTGGTAGTTGAGCATCAGTTGTGTGTTCTCAGCTCGGACGTGACTGTCTTTGGTGGCTGCTTTTATCTGCTCAGACAGATCACTGCAAAGAAGAACACATGGCACACTGATTTATACTTATGCTTTTAAGAATCACTGACTCGATTCGATATCTAGCACTGTAACAATATCCATTACATCTGCAATTGCTGTAGCTTCTACTTTTGGTATGATTTATAAGGCTTAATTGCTGTTCTCATAATCACTATGAAATTAAGACATTTTTACCTGTCAGTGCCATCTCTCGGTTTGCTTTTCATGGATTCCATTCCTAAAACAACAAATATTTGTTATTAAATGTCACAATGTCCACTGTAACATATTTACATAAGTTTTGCCATCTTACTTGCGATGTCCTTGTGTGTTTGTTGCTGTGTCTCTCGTTCTTCTCAGTCAGTGTCCACAGAGGCTATGAACTCCCTAACTGCGCCACTTCGTTTTTATACGATTTCCTTCCCATCTAGGTCACTAGATTTAGTGAAAAGGGAAGTGAAAATGTCGAGGTAGTTCCACATGCTTACACTAACCATGACTGGAGGGTTTTTTTTTCGACTGAGAAATCTCAATGGTTTCTCATGACAAAGTCACATGAGGTCAACATAAGTTGTTTCAGTCAAATATGTTTATATGGGTTATAAAGTTATAAAGTGTGTTGTAAAGTTTGTTATTAAGAGTAATAACGTTTTTTTATATATATATTATGAGGCATTTTATAGTTGACGATGATTTCATGACTGAACTGTTTTTTTGTTGGTGTGTTTCTAAACATGACACAGCAAAATCTCAGAACCATGACAGTGTAGTTTAATGCAAGAATTTGCTTTATTTTTTGTAAATGATTTCAACATAAATCTTGATTTCAGTTTATTAAATATACATGTTTTAGTAAAAAAAAATCATAATTTAAAATATTTAAAATATTTTCTAAAAAATTATAATAATTTGCTCTCTTTTATACTCTCACTAGTTCGTTTAATTTATCTGCCAACAATGTCCAACACATGCGTGCAATCTTTGCAAATACACGTAATTAAATAATAAAGAAAGTCTGGGTCTGAGACAAGGGTAAAACAATAGAAGCGAAACATCTGGGAAGCATTTGAAAACAGAAAAAAATAATAATGAGTGCATAACAGTTTTAATGTAACTTTAAAAAAAGATGTCTACCTTTTTTAGTTTTAATTTAAAAAATCGCAGGAAATAAAAACAAAACACTTTGATGCCATAAGAATCAACAGAACCAGATTTTAGTGTGCGTGAACTATTTAGTCACGCCCCTCTGGTCTCTCATTGGTTAGACGTCGTCCATCCATTTCGTGACGTCAAAAGCAGGCTCTATCCGTGGAAGATGTTATGAAATCTGTGCAATCGCAAAGATGTAGTTTACGAAATGCCTGCCTTTTATTTCCATACTTTCTGTCACTAAAGGATAACAGGGGCAGCTGTATTTGACGGTACGTTGATTTAATGCCAATGTATTTACACTATACTGTGTTTTTCGGTCTTACATGTTGGATGTTGCCGCCGCATCCCCAGTATTGGAACAGGGGTATGGCAAGCCGTTTTAGCTTAAATTGTACCCAGCCTTACTTGTTGTAATTTCATTTTTACTAGTAAAAATTTAATTAGAGAACTTTACAATTCAATTCGTACTAGTAGCAATTACAATTAGAGAGCTCTCTAATTCAATTCTTACTAGTAACAATTGCGATTAGAGAGCTCTCTAATTCGATTCTTACTAGTAAGAATGTAATTGCAGAGCTCTTTAATTGAATTAAAGAGCTCTGCAATTGCATTCTTACTAGTAAGAATTAAATTAGAGAGCTCTCTAAATCAGTTTTTACTAGTAAGAATTACATTAGGAGAGCTCTTTAATGCAATTATTACTAGTAAAAACTGATTTAGAGAGCTCTCTAATTCAGTTCTTACTAGTAAGAATGCAATTGCAGAGCTCTTTAATTCAATTAGAGAGCTCTTTAATGCAATTCTTACTAGTAGGAATTCAATTAGAGAGCTCTACAATTCAATTCTTACTAGTAGCAATTACAATTAGAGAGCTCTCTAATTCAATTCTTACTAGTGAAAATACAATTAGAGAGCTCTCTAATTCAGTTATTACTAGTAACAATTACAATTGCAGAGCTCTCTAATTCAATTCTTACTAGTAACAATTCCAATTAGAGAGCTCTACAAATGAATTCTTACTAGTAACAACTCAATTGCAGAGCTCTTTAATTCAATTAGAGAGCTCTCTATTTCAATTGTTACTAGTAAGAATGCAATTGTAGAGCTCTCTAATTGAATTATTACTAGTAAGAATTCCAATTAGAGAGCTCTCTAATCCAATTATTACTAGTAACAATTATAATTAGAGAGCTCTCTAATTCAGTTGTTACTAGTAAGAATGCAATTGCAGAGCTCTCTAATTCAATTACAGAGCTCTCCAATTATACATATCTTTAATTCGTTTTTTTACTAGTAAAAATTCAATTAGAGAGCTCTGTAATTGCATTCTTACTAGTAAGAATTGAATTAGAGAGCTCTCTAATTGTAATTGTTACTAGTAATAATTGGATTAGAGAGCTCTCTAATTGTAATTCTTACTAGTAATAATTGAATTAGAGAGCTCTGCAATTGCATTCTTACTAGTAAGAATTGAATTAGAGAGCTCTCTAATTGTAATTGTTACTAGTAAGAATTGAATTAGAGAGCTCTCTAATTGTAATTGTTACTAGTAAGAATTGGATTAGAGAGCTCTCTAATTGTAATTCTTACTAGTAATAATTGAATTAGAGAGCTCTCTAATTGTAATTCTTACTAGTAACAATTCAATTATAGAGCTCTCTAATTAAAAATGAATGGAAGTCAATGGAGACATATGACTAGTAAAAATTCATTTGTAGAGCTCTCTAATTGCAATTGTTACTAGTAAGAATTGAATTAGAGAGCTCTCTAATAATAATTGTTACTAGTAAGAATTGAATTAGAGAGCTCTCTAATAATAATTGTTACTAGTAAGAATTGAATTAGAGAGCTCTCTAATTGTAATTCTTACTAGTAAGAATTGAATTAGAGAGCTCTCTAATTGTAATTGTTACTAGTAATAATTGAATTAGAGAGCTCTCTAATTGTAATTGTTACTAGTAATAATCGAATTAGAGAGCTCTCTAATTGTAATTGTTACTAGTAATAATTGAATTGTAGAGCTCTCTAATTGAATTATTACTAGTAAAAATGTAATTAAGACGAATAAGGCTGGGTACAATTAAAGCTGAAACGGCTTGCCATACAGGGGAGCCATATCAGTAAACATGTACCTATTAAAAAAGTATTATATAATGTCTATTATTTTATAGTTTGTATTTCTATTCTCAATTACTGTGTTTACCTTTATTCTCAGTTATGTATTTATTCTGTATGCTTTATTATATGATGTAGTTATAGTTTAAAAGCTTATTATTCTCGGCATGTATCCATCTGCAGTTAATTTTAGTTTTAATGAAACTGAACAAATGCATGATTAATTATCAGTAATGATTTAAAGGTGAACATTGAATTACAGGTAGAGCGCCTGGCTCTAATAAACTGCTGTTTTTATTTCCATCCCAAGGCCTCATGAGTGTGATTCAGCTTCTCTCCAGGCTCCTGTGTGTCCTGTCCCTGGCCACTTCTGGTTCTGCTCTTCATGGCCGTAACAACACCGTGAGCCATGCGTACTGTGTGCTGGGAGCTGGTCCTGCAGGGCTCCAGATGGGCTACTTTCTGTCCCGGAGCCAGAGAGATTACATCATTCTAGAGAGAAACACAGGACCTGGAAGCTTCTTCAACATGTACGTGAAAATCTGAATGACAAAGGATGTTTTCTAGGAATGTAAACTATATTATTGCAAAATACTGCAGTAAAAAGGGAACATAATTGAGTAAAACATATACATTTATGGTAAGTTTTAATTATGTCTAATGTAACATGCAACATAATTCAAATATAATGCAATATAACTCATTTGCTTTCAGTATCTTAACATTTAGGTTGCAAACTTTCTTTGTCGAAGCTGAACCATTGTTTTTTTTTACTGTATTCCTTTCAGATATCCTCGGCACAGAAAGCTCATCAGCATTAATAAAATATACACTGGGAGGCGGAACAAGGAATTCAACTTGCGTCATGATTGGAACTCCCTGTTGAGTGACAGGGCCGACCTCCTGTTTCAGCGAATAAGCCGGGAGCTTTACCCCAATGCTGATGACTTCCCACGTTACCTTTCAATGTTTGAGAAGGAGCTGGGGCTGAAGGTTACATATGGAGCTGATATAGGGAAAATTAAAGCATCAGAATTGAATGGAAACCGAGGCTACATCCTGTCCGATCAGAATGGTGTCAATTATCAGTGCAGGTATAGTAACTACATTCATTTATTTTAATTTTTATTTAATAATATTTTCAAGTGCTCTCTGATATGCCTTCATAACATGTTTTATGTCATTTTTTTTTTTTTTTTTTTTTTCTCTATAGTGTCCTGTTGGTGTCTACAGGCCTTTGGGTTCCTCAGCAGGTGGATTTTCTTGGCTCTGACCTGGTGGAGGGTTATGAGTCTATTCCCACTGATCCCGAGGAGTTTAAAGAACAAGCTGTGTTAATCCTCGGCAAAGGAAACTCCGCCTTTGAGACAGCCCAAAGCATCTTGGGAAGAGCGAGCCGGATTCACTTGTATAGTCCCAGCCCAGTACGTCTCGCATGGCAGACACACTACGTTGGGGACCTCAGGTATTTAATCTGCTCTGTCCAACTTTTTGCAAAATGCATTAAATTAATGTTTTCAAGTCTGCAACCAAAAATTCACAAGTGATGTATCCAGGTAGGATTAACGTTTCCATCCTATTCTTCTCAACTAATCACAGCACTAAACCTATCCGTGACCCTTCCACTAAAATCAGAGGGCACTGATTGGATGATTACAATCAGTGTTGCCAAGTCCCGTGAAATTGGGGTACTTATAAGTTGCTGCCGTGGGTTGATTTTTTTTTTTTTTTTTAAATCTCGTTGGTTAATCCCCCCAAAAGATGTTAATCCTGGAACATGCCATACTTGGCTCATGTTTAGCCAACAAAAACTTATCAAATTCACATAATTACCGCTTATGAACTTCTTATAATTCTGACTTTTTTCCCCTCATGAATGTGAGTTCATAGGACAATTAGGACTTTATTCCTATTTGCTTCTAAATCAAAATATTCTCTCACCTTGCCACAGCGAGTGACATACACATACAAATGCTAAATCTGAGGTGAAATTAAATGATTTTGTTTTCTGCTCCAGATATACACTTTTCAAAATAATGTTTTATTTTTA